CCCCCCATATTTAATTTTAACATTGCTAAGTGCCTGGGCCATTTGGCCAACAAGCTCAAGCCCTTTGTTGGACCTCATGTCCAATGGGCTAGCCTGTTAGCACAAGCAGGCCCAACAGATTCCGGCTAAAGGCGATTGAATAAGCTGAACCTGAAATTTACTCTTAATCTAAGTAGTACTAATGTATGCTAAAAATAACTAAACCAAACATTAACAAACCTAGCTAAAAAACTGGATGACCAACAAATTATGAACAAAATAACAATTAAACAAACAATTTCTAACAAACTAACAATGTAGCCATCATTTCAGAGCTAAACGACCCAACCAGAACAAAAGGAAAAAGGGCAAAAGAGGGTAATCGGAACCTTACCCCCTCTGAGCAGCCAGAAACGAGGAGAACTACGACGCCTACGCAATTTTTAAACTACCAAACGTCTTCTCCTCCAAGAAATCGGTCTCAAAAATGACTTTTGGCCGGATTTTCTTGGAAGAAAAGACTCATGGGAGTCAAAAAGCGTAGCAAACAACCAAATAAAACCACCGTACCCTCAGGCGTTGAATATAAGAGAAGACCAGAAAAATTAGGGTTTCAAGGGATTCTAAGATCCGAGATTCGTGAAGTTTAGTTGGTTTTCTGGTAAAATTGATGTGATATTAGTGAAGAGGGGGAGTTGAGGCTTGTAGGGTGTGAATTTGAGGGAGATTGGAGTTGTTTGAAGTGGTGCCGCAGGCAAAGAGTTTTGGGGCGGCTAGGGTTTGAGTGATAGAGATGAGAGGGAATGACAATGGGGATCTCTAAGGGTTTGGGGGTCGTTTCAAACAGTTTTGAGGGGTGGGGTGATTAAGTTCCCGGCCGTTGGATGGAAAAAGATGAAGGGCCAGGATTAAAGGCGCCCGAAACGGCGCCATTTTGGTGCTCAAAGGAGCTAGACCGGATGGATTATGGGGATTGGGCTTGGAGCGGATTTGAGAGAATTGGGTCGCTGAGATGGCTTTTGGCCCAATTTTGAGTAAATCAAACAAAAATCCCTATTTCCTTTCTTTGTTTCTTTTTCTTTGATTTTAAATTCTAAACAAATTAATTAAAATCCTAACTTAAATCTAATTTGCAAAATTAAACCTACTTACCTATTTCTAACATGTAACATTACTAATGTATTTTTTGTTGTGATTTTTATGTATTAATTCTAACAATTAAAATGCGATTAAACCTAAAATGACATGGAATGAAGATTCAAAAAATTTTATGGTGTTGACTTTAAGATATTAAATAAGCACAAAAATGCAACTAAATGCAAACAAACAATTAAATAGAAATTCCTAAAAATTCTATAAAAATCAAAAACAATAAGAAAATTTATTTTTGTGAATTTTGTAGGAATATCTTCGTAGGGCAAAAATAACGTGCTCACGTGCCCCTAACACAGAACATAATAGTCAATTTCGGAACTAATGTCATCCAATTCAATTTCAACTATTGAGGACTCACCACGTGTTTTAGATACTACATATTCCAATTTATATCTAGCATTTAAAATTTTTGCTATATCGAAGTCATCCCAGATTGATCTTGCTTCTTCTGTGACTCCAGCTCCTCTTCAACCTCATCTGCCCATGATTTTTTGCCGCTACTCGTAGGTTCTACTTGATCCTTACTTGGTGAAGCTTGTAACACTCCAGACCATACCGATGTGCTTCGATCTGCTGAATTTTCTGTTTCATTGGATTTAGAACTGACTGAGTTTTCCTTGCTACTTCATGGCTACCATTGCTTGATTTCTGCCCTCGCTGAACGATTCCATACAATGTGGAAGCTTCCTTGGCCATTAGAGCCTTCTGGAATGGGATGCAAGCTCTCTTGCCCATGGCTGGCGCAAGTTAGGCTAACATACACCTAGAGAGAAAACAAGCCATCTTCTTTTAGCTAAATGTTCTGATGTTTTTTTTTATGTAATCGCACGTTCAACATTGCAAGATGTAAAGAGGTTGCCTTAGGCGCACATGTGGCCTGGCGGAGTGTTTTTTAACTCAAGTAAATCAAGTGACAGATGTGACTTCTTGAATTTTGTAAACTAGCAGGAGATAAGGAACCTTGCTTTAAAGCCTTTCGGGCAAGGAGTAATGATTGGGTCTTAGACATTGCCAAACGAACCTCCAGTAACATTCCGTCAGTACCATTCAGTGCACTACTTGATGCTAGCCATACATGCAATGATAATTTACAGGTCTTTATTCATTTTTTATTAGCTATGTTTTAATTAATTTTATTATTTAATTTAAAAAGATAAGAAAAGGAAGGAAACAAAGAAGCATAACAAAAAAAATCGCGTTGGCGAGTGTTCCTGCAAACAGTGCCTGACCATTGGACATTAACCAAATTTTTGAGAATGAGATTAATCAAATTTGGATGGACCCAAATTCTCCAGACACAGATGCTGACTTCTTTCAATCTATTTCTAATATGAGATGAAAACTTCGATATTTGGGAGCGGGGTTTCTTCTTAATTGCAACTTGCAAGGCAATGAAAGTTCTTTTGGAATTGCTATGAAGCAGATCTAGAAAAATCATTTGGAGAATTTTTATAGATGGTATGCGGAAGTGGCGGAAGCAGGATTTTCATGGCCGGTGGGAATTGAACCAACCACCCCAAAGGTTTTGAACCTTCTTGACCAATGAGCTATGCTTTTAGGCTATGTCAAGGGGATTCAAACAACAAAATATAGAGGCACAAAACGAATTTTGCCTTATATGTACATGTAATTTTCCGGTTGTGTGGAATTAGTTGTCTCTGCGTGACCTATAGGTCACGAGTTCGAGCCGTAGAAATGCATCAGGATAGGCTGCCTACATCACACCCCTTAAGGTGTGTCCCTTTCCCGGACCTTGTGTGAATACTGATGCTTCGTGCATCGGGTTGTTCTTTTGGTGTGCGGAATTATTGTGCTATGTTTAAACTGTTTGCGGATTTTTTTTCCTCTGGTCCTTTTCTTTGACAACATGGCTGCATCAAGTACTACATTGAATAGGAAGGTAACTGGAGATGAGCCCCTCCAATGAATAGAGCAGTCAGTGCAAAACAAACCGTTTGATAAATCGATGCAGCCGCAGACTATATAAGAGAACAAAGAACAAACAACTTGAATATGCTTATCCTTATTGACAGTCTTCAAAGAAGGATCCTGGGTTGAGGGGGGCCTAAAATTCATCAGCTACGTACAGGTGACCCTTTCCTACTTAACCCTTCTATACTAGAAGTAGAAATAGCAGCATTAGAAAGAACTCCAGGTTATTCAGCTTATCAAGTTACAGGAGTTTCGCCCTCATGAAGTAAGATTAGGATCCTCTATTTAGTTGCAGCAGCCACTTAACCACCAATAAAAAAAATTTAAAAAGAATGGAGGTTGGGGGGGTTTAAGGTACCCCAATAATCCCATGGTATGGCGAGCTGTGCAGCAAATGGACTCCCTGCAGCTAAAGTATTTCTTATGTGTCTAAAAACAATGACATTAGTGAATTAGGAAATTGTCTGTGTAGAAATAGGGAGGTGAGTACATGAAAGGTACAGTCCCTTTTGTATCTAGATTCTATTCAACTGTCCACCTTCTTTTACCTTTCTTTGGTTCGAGGAGACTTTTTGTGATTACAAATAATACAACAAACGGAAGCACATTTACAAGGTCTAAACGGATGGCTCTTGTTCAAAAGCATAACTGCAGAAGCGCATAAGAGAACTGAGGAATAGAGGTTACCACAAGAAAACTCGGCCCCCATAATTTCACATGAGTGTTACCATGATACACAACACTGATTACTTGGGAAAAAGAGACTACCTAATGTTTTTAAAGGCGGAGAAAATTCTTGTATCATCCTCCCAATTAGATGTTTAAGATATCTTTTTCTTATATGACCAGGAAATCCGTCTTGGGCCAACCCTTAGGACCAACAACAACAAAACTCGAGGATAATGGGCCCACCCCTCTACCTTTCTCCACTTAAATGCCAGGCTTAGTTCGCACGCATGCCTCAGGATTCAAACCTGCAGCTAAGTCACATGCCCCCAACCTTTGCCACTTGAACTAAAGCCCTGAAGCAGATGACATCTTATTCTTATGGTTGATGGAAATGGTTACCTGAAAGACACAGATAAGCTTTATCCAACTGAAGACTCTCTGTAGATTTGCCTTATTTAATGTGCTCATGCTTCTATAAGTGGCTGAACTGGTCGACCAATGATAATTTAAACTACGATGTGACGCGAATATATGACCACCTGAGGAAGTGCTAACAAAACATTTGATTTGAGCAAGAAAATTGTAGAGTTCAGAGAAGCTCAATTGACAGTTGACTCCTGAAATAGGGAGGTGAGAACATGAAATCAGCGGTTATCTAATAGCTATCTGCCTCCTCTCCCAAGACACATAATCACATTGCAAGCATTTTTCTTTTTTGATAAAGTAATAAATATGTATTAATATTTGGGCAAACCTAACGTCAGTACAAAAGAAGTATACCAAAAAAGTAGGAAACCTAACAAAAAGATATTGTTTTATACGAACGATCGCAAGCGTTCACAATATTATTCCAAAGAACTGAACACACTTCACCGGGGAGTTCATAAATGCATTAGAATAATAGATAGTACTTTGTCTATGAACATCATTGTTTCCATTCAAATTTCCCAAGTATACAAGGTGCAGAAAGACATGTTCACTTTTTATAAATGAACCGCTGGACATAACAAACTTGACTATTAAACTAAAACTTCAATATAAAGAATGAAAATCATGAATCGTGATTAAACAAACTGCACGATACGATAAGCATTATCTTACTTTTACTAGGCATCAAGAGGTTACGTTCAACTCTTGAGTTATGTTGCATGCTGACAACTTTGGCATCTAGCTTCCTGCATATCTTAAGTTTGTCTGAGAATCAAGCTTTCACAGGCTAATCATCATCTTCAATGTCCCAACTCAAATCCTCATCATCCTCTTCAACACTAAGCCTCTTCCTCAAATCAGCTCTATTGGAACTTGTAGCATGAGAAGTTGCCTTTTTGTCGTCATTACCCTCAATGTCTTCAATCTCAGCCCAATCCAAGTCCTCCTCATCAGCCCCCGTCTTTTGACTTGACACTGTAGAGACATCACCACCTTTACCAGATTCATCCTTATCACCTTTCCCATCTGAACCTTTTGCCGCCCTCTCCTCCTTTTTATCCAAAGAAGTAACTTCGGGGTCCTCTTTCTTAGGATCTTCGCTATTCCCCTCCTTCTTACTCAAAGAAGTAACTTCAGAGTTCTCTTTTTTAGTATCTTCGCTATTCCCACTCGATTCTACGACATGGCTCTTGCCAGCACCATCTGCATTAGACTGATTCTGTTCTTTCCTAACAACAGTAGCAGAACTTAAAGTTTTTGATTCATCACTATGAGCGGCCTGTTTAACAACATTGGTTGAATCCTCTTTGCTTGGTTCACTTTTATCCGGAAGCACTTCCTTTGCAACATTAGCCGAGTCCTTATTAGCAGATTCAGTCTCAGCCGAAGCCAATTTCTTTACATCATCAACGGAGCTTTCAATAACAGATGAACCCTCTTTTCCCTGCTCATCAACTTTCGATTTGGCATTGCTCTCTTGTTCATTATCATCATCATCATCAACATCCCAAGACAATTCTTCATCATCATCATCTATAGATATTGCTCTCTTCACAAGCTTAGCTCTAACACTCTCTTGCTGCTCAAGCTTGTACACTCTATAAAAATAACGATACCAAAACGTCTCATGATCAACTTCATTAGGCACAACCCTTTTGTAGATACCTTCTAATGATACAATATTTCCAATCAAGTTCTCAACTTCCTCACTTTTCTCCTTCAAATCAAACCCTAATTTCCACTTCTTGTACTCCTCTAAATCCTCAGGCTCCAAACAGAATGTATTTGGGTCATTTTGGATATTAATCAATTGAGATTCGAACCGACTGTACCGGGCCGAGTTCAAGACCCGATTTTGATCAGGGGTTTCGGGTTCAACATCATCAGAGGATGCTAAAAGGGAATCTTTACCTTGTGAAATAATCTCAGCCGTAGACTTGATGACGCCGTCAATAACCTCGATAGAATTAGGAAGATCCTTAACGGCCCGACTAGCTACTTCACGGAACAATTCGGTTTCTTTTTTCAACCCGGATCCGAATTCCTGCAGATCCTTGCGGTACGTCTCGAGCACTAATTCGGATCGAGTTGACAACGTCTTGAACAGACCTCCGAAGCTCCAAACACCACCGTCACTACCGTCGGCAGCTGAATCGGATCCTGAATCGGGCGTGTGCTCCGGGTCAACGTCGACGTCATTGTCAGGGGTTTCGTGTGATTGTTCAGGTGTAGATTCTTGGAGCTTTTTGGGTATTGGGGGGTCCGGATCCGGATCGTCAGATAATATAGATTTGAAGAAGTTCATAGCTCAGTGAATCAAATTGGAGGGAAGAGTTTCAGTGGTGGTGGTGATATTCACGTTGCTTTTTCTTTCCTTTCAGTCGAAGTGTCAATTTTTTTTTTAGATGATGTTTTCTCGCCAGTTGGCAGTTCCCAACTCTCTCACGAACCTTCATTGCTGGGCCTACTTTGCTTTGGACTCGCTCCTTGTGATTTACTAGAAATATATTATATTATGGATGTTCATTAAGTACTCCGTTGTAAATAAGCTTCCTGAAGAAGCTTATTCATATGGGAATCCATCGTAAATATATTTATCTATTTAAGTACTCTATTGGAAATAAGCTTTCTGAAGAAGATTATCACTTCGATACCCGGTTATAGATAAATATTACCCCCGGTAGAAGACTATTCATATCGAGTATAATAAGTTTATCCTTTCAGTACCCAGTTGTGGATAAATATTATCCCCGNNCTTCCTTTCTTCTATAAATAGAAGAGATTTCAGTTCATTATGTACATCAGTTTGAATTCGAATAATATATCAGTTTCTCTCTATACTTTTCTTTACTTTATAGTCTTTATTTTATAACACGTTATCAGCACGAGACTATGCCATCTCGAGCAAATATTTTGAGAGTATCTAAGGTAAGAACTTTCTTTTCCTAAATAATGTCAAATCTTTC